ATGTATTTTGCATGGCTCACGTGCTGATTGACATCCAAATCACTCCAACCAGGCTTCTGCGATTTTAAGATGATAAGCAGGTGTTAGTCAATTGCTTCAAGAACAAAAAACAATGTTTCAATGTCTCCATGTTTTAAGCATAAGATATACTTACTGCTACAGATGTTTGAAAATAGTTTCTAGCATCAATATCCAATCGTCCTAGTTTAGCATTTTTGATGTCAATGAGAGGATCAGAATCCATGAGAGCAGATCTTAACTCATCTGTGATTTCTGCTGTAACTTTAGAAAATTTCCTTGTCTTCATGTGCATCAGCATGTAAAGACTGCATAGGACCAATATCAAACCACAGCCGAAAAAACAAAAAATAAAGAGATATATGCATTTGAGAATCTTAGTTTGGATCCCAACCCCGTTGCTCGAATCAAGATCTCTCCTGTCATGTAATCACGAAAGATCCAATCCCGGAACAGACCATTGTTTCCTGATGCACCAGTTCGGGTGTCTATTTGAATAACTTCAGCCCTCCAAACACAGAACACAACATTATTGTTTGATGAAAAATAATTTCCACAAAATAATTTCCAAATATAGAAGTTAAACAGGCTGTTCATAAGATGTTAAGAGTAGTACTAGTAGAGGAACTTAAAAACAATGAAAGCCTAGCTATATAAACAAATAATATTCCAAGTTTACCAAGAAGGATATTTTTCCACTACGGTCTGCAATTTACACGTCACCCATACTAGGCCTCTTTTGGTCATCTCTGGTGTCGAACCCAAACCACCAGCATAGAGCCCAAGACTCCTACAATGCTGAACTGAAGTTTCCTATACATACAAAAGCCATGAAGAACTAGTCACGTATAAAGCATTAGTTTTAGGACACTACTTATGCTATCTTTTAATAAAGATAAAGAAATCCAAAACCTACCTGTAAGCGTTCCATCAAGCACCCTATGGTTGCTTTGCCATCAGGGCCTAAATCATATGATCTAATTGAGAAGTTCTGTTGAAAAACAAGCCCCCCCTGCCCCAATTTTCCACCAAAAGTATCATAAACCCCGTCGAACTTCCTCGATTCCCAGTTCAAATGTTGTGGTATTTTCTTAGCAGCTGCTGCGGGTGTGACAGTTTTATCATCATCTTGTTTGGGGGAAGTGATGACATTTTCTTTGGGAAAGACCTTTGCTTGAAAATTAATAGCAGGTGCAGAATTAGGCTTACTTTGAGTAGAGCCATAATTTGTTCCTCCACAACATGCTATTGATTTATTTTTAGGGATGGTTGATAGCAACCTTGGCATGGGCAGTGTTGGTGGAGCAGATGTAAGCAACATTGTGATATTCAAGCAAATCAGATCAAATTCTAATCTGCCAAAACAAAAAATGTGAAAATATATGATGGGTTATGAGCAAACAAATTACTTATGCACACTCAACCATGAAAGCATTTTCATACCATCAACAAGCTTATATAGAAATTCATGGGGTGAGTGAGTGAGGTGAGATTACTTATTGTTGGGCGCTTATCACGCGGCCTGCCAAACAACTTATAGCCTTAAGCCCACTTTTTATGAATATGCTACCAAATCACCTCGTAGTGCTTACATTCCAGATTTTAATTATAAATACAACTTAAAAGGCGCATTTCACTATATTTTTAATATCAAAATGGTCCCTTCTCTAATGCAGGATTAACTAACAATTTTTGGTTCATAATTCTCAACAGTTATTTTGTATATTGACTGTTCTGTGACCTTCCCTAAACACCAAACAACACTCCTCTAGTGGGCTCAATACCCTAAGCTTTTGTTCTTTTCTTATATTCCTTTAGTTTAGCATGGCGGCAATACCCTACTTATTCCTTTTTATCACTCACAACACTTTTAAATACAATTTACCAAACACTTCACTATTTTATTTTATAACTTATTATTCTCGCAGTACGACAGAAATAATTTTTATTTATTTTTATTTTTTTATGAACATACCAATACCAAACGCTTAGAGACATATTTGCATGAGTTGTATAATCTGCCAACCTTCTTGCCAGCACGTTTCTTACGTTTGGGGCCAAAGACCCAAAACAAGGACATATCTAACAATTGTAACCTACATTCCCGGGTCTTGCTCCAAGGAGGCCCTCATCTAAGAACTGAATAACTGCAAGGAAGTCCTCAGCTAAACTTATAATCATAATCAAATATAAACAGACTTCTTAATATAAAGTTTAAAATAAAAAACTTGGCTTCTTTTAACTTACAACACATCTATTAAAATGAGAATATCCAACTCAAAATCAATTGGTAATGGATGAAGTGGCCCAAAATCTTTTAAAACTATAAAACAAGGCTGATGGGGGATTCACTCTCAACAAATAAGTTCTTGTGTCTAATGTCGGGGGCACCTTGACTCAACTGGTAGAAGACCTTGACTCGGTTGATGCCTATCAAGCCAAGGGAGTCTCCTTCGTCATGCTACGTAGCCCAGAGGTCACCTCATTAGATAACTTATTTTTGTCCCATAAATTAATACCACAAGACTTGTGGGTCTTTTCGTTTTATTCATTTATTTATTGACGTTATAAATAACAACCTCCTTGTCTATCTAGGCCTTTTGGAGTTGGGTTTTCCACCTTGACCTTAGATTAGAGTTGGGTTCCACCTTGACCTTGGAGTGGAGTTGCTTGACCCCGACCTCGGCTTGGATTTTAGACCACACCTAAACAGATTTTTATCAAACAGACAGCTATATACCAATGTGATCTTCATGTTGCAGGAAATCTTTATTCAAGGTTGACTCAGCCAAAGTGATATTGATGTTGGAGACCCACCCCTATATACCTTCTTATTCACGTTGGTGACCGAACCCTATATACGATTTTCTCTTCTTCATCTTGAAGGAATATACACAAGATTACTTTTTATAAAAATAAACACATCACTTTCTTTTTCTTTTTTTTTTTTTCTTTTTTTTGTCATTAAAGAATTGGAGATTCAAACTTGAGACGTCTTTCAACAATAGAAGGAAAAAAGAAGTATTACTAAACAAAAATTATTAGTTGGTCAAATAAATACTTTTTTATATTTTTTTTGTTGTTGAATTTTTAAACTTGTTATTTTTTTGTCAACTCATAACATAAATGGTAAAAACAAATATATATTGACAAGTTGTTATCAAATATTAAAACAACTTTAATAAATAAGAGTAATTATAAAAAAAAAATCATATAAAGAAAAGCCATTGAAATCAACTTCTTAGAGCACTTCCAGCAGTGTAGGCAAAACTCGGGCTGGTGAGGGGAGGGGGGGTTTGGCCCAAAATCACGTTTCCAGCAACAAAAAATGGCCCGGGCAGATGGTGGGACCCGGAAGACTGGGCTGACCTGAGGGCGAGGAGAGCCCGAGTTTTGGTGCTGACGTCATGACGACGTGCCCGCTCCAACGTTAAAAAAAAAAAATTTGAACACGCCGCTACAGTGCCACCAACTGCTCTGCCTCATCGCACTCTAGACTTTCCGATCATAATTTTTCCTCCAATCCAACGGCGGCCAATTTTTTGCAATAAAAAAATGAAAAAAAAATCAAATTTTTTTTTAAAAACATACCAAAAATTACTATATTTTTTTTTTTCTATAAATACCAACCAATACTCGATATGAATTTGAAATTTATCTAAAATTTGAACCGAAAATCTTATTCCATATGAATAGTATTGACACGTAGGAACCCAAAGATCTTATCTGAAAATATTATCCAAATTAATTGTTCAGGTAAAAAAAGTTGTAAAAAAATTAATAGTATTTGCCATGGCAAAAGGCAACTGCTGGAAACACACATTGTTTTTTGCAAGGGCAACCACTATTCACGTGAATAGTAGCTGCCCTAGCCCCCCTGCCATGACAAAGGGCAAACTGCTGGAAGTGCTCTTATGCGCACACAACGCACTCTCCCACAGAGTTTGTGAGTAAAATATGTGTATCGATTTTAATTATAATTAGTTATAAGGGTAAACTACAGTAAATCCCCCAACTTATAGGGTAATTTACGAGTTCATACCCGATTTTGGAGACATTTATGAGTACATACTCAATGTCGCGGAAAACCTACAATTTGCCCCTCCGTTATCGAAATCGTCAGAAAATCCGTTATCTGACTATGCGGCATTTGTGAAACCCATTTTTTTAATTGACGTGGAATTCCACATGAGGCCTTCAGAAGCGTCTGTCTCTCTCTCTTTCTCTTAGAGTTCTCTTTTTTCTCTGTCTCTCTACACTTGATTTGATGTTTAGCTTTGGATGCTTTGATTTCTAGCTGTTTTCTTTTCTGGGTTTAATTCATTTTGGATGTTGGATGTCGGGCTCAGAAGAGATTTTTTATTTTTAATGATTTTAATATTATTCAAAAAATTATTTTTAACATGTATATAATTTTTTATTATTTATTTGTCCACTTGTAAGTCCACGTTAATTAAAAAATGGGTCCCATAAATGCTACATAAGTATATAATGGATTTTCTGACGATCTCGCTAAAGAAGGGGGCAAATTGTAAGTTTTCTGCGACGTTGAATATGTGCTTGTAAATGTTTTCAAAATCAAGTATGAACTCATAAATGACCCTATAAGTTAGAGAGTTTACTGTACTTTACCCTAGTTATAATTTTTGCGCGACCAAAAAAAGCCAGTTTTTTTTTTTTTTGCATCTAAATATTATAATAAATTGGACAAGTAAGCGAGTTGACTTGAGTTTGGTAGCAGACTGGAGCTTCGATTTTTGACTCGTGAGTCGTGACAAGCCCGAGTTGTAATCGATTTTAGTGGGATTTGGTACGGCGTGTCCAACCATACCAAGTGAATTTCAACCGTCCATCAAAGACAACAACATGATGACATCACTGTCCACAATCCAACGGTGCAAAAATTCATATCGCTCATTGCCACAGCTCAGCTTTGATCTCAACGTATACTCTCTCTCTCTCTCTATGATGAGTTTGCGTGAGCAATGGAGCAAAAAAGCTGACGTTATATTTTTTTTTTTATCTCGAGAAAACTGAAAATCTGAGAGAAAAATAGAAGACATGGGAAGAAAGTAAGCTCTAAAGCTGGTCGCCTGACTGTGATACTCATTGCATCTTATATTATCGGGTATAATCTAGTTGAATCTGCTACGATTTTCTTCTTCTTGCATTTATTTTTCATCATCGTTTTTGGGTTGTGGGTTTTGTTTTCTGTGAAATATTGTTATATCTTGCTTAATTTGAAGGATTGTTAGTGGGTTTTAAGCTTTTCGTGGAGTTGATATCATTGCTTGATTTGATCGTTTTGGGATGGTCAACTTGGGAAATTTCTTATCTTTAGTGTAATTTAGTGTGTGAATTGAGTGTATATGAAGTTTTTGAGTCATGGGTTTTGCTTCTATGCTTGACATATGTTTTTGATTTTCTGAAATTGGATTTATTTTGCTTTTCCACTATGTGGGTCTCTGAGTTTTGAGGCTGTTGTGTATTGACTTGTGTTGTTGTACTGGTTTGAGAACTAAGAAATTAGTTGAAAATGTAATGCATATCCGATCAACTTATACTTGCCCATAATCACCCACATAGGGACGTTTGATAGCAAATCTTTAGTTTTGCATGATATCTGTTGGATAGATTTATTCACCTTCCACTTGTCTGGTTTTATCTTTTTGTTGAAACATGGTTTTGTTTGTTATGTATCTCGCTCCCATTCTTGTTTCTGTATAGTGGTGATCTCCCCAAAAATTTGAGGTGTAAATTAGTAATGTATGAACAACAACTAGTCTGTTTGGTTATGTGATCCTGATCATCTTTTTGGTGGACTGGCATTGCTCATTTACCAATTTTGTGATATTGCAATCCTGCTCTCCTGCATTTTACTTTTCTCTTTAAAAAATGCTTTAAATGTAGCATTATTCAATTTGTGTTTTATAGAAATGATTTTAAAAACCTAATTATAGTTCTGATTCTGATTCTGTTGCAGCTTACATATGAATAGAAATAAATTATTTGAATCATTTAGCTTCAGACAGTGTTGAAAGTAAAGGAGGAGGAGGATTTGTAGATAAAGTGAAAGTTAAGTATAATCTATGCATCCTCACCTTCCAATTTGGTTGGCGGACTTAGATGGATGTTCCCTCTCCAGAACCAAATAGTGATGCTCAAAGTGACCAATTTCCTTTGCTATTAGAGCAGATGGAAAGCCCTAATGATCATGTGCACATAATTGATGTAACAAGGAATCGTGATACTTCAGCAAGTTCATCTAGTGATGACCAACCTCCTAGAGTGGACTTGCCTCAGCATGAAGACAGACCATTGGCTAGTACACATGCCCCCACCTATCAAGCTGCTTCATCCTCAAACAGATTAAATTCTAGGAATTCGTCATTTATGAGGAGAGGTGATGGGTACAGTCGTCGCCGAAGAAGCCCTTTGAATTCAGGGTTATGGATTTCTGTTGAGCTTGTTGTCACTGTGAGTCAGATTATAGCATCTATTGTTGTTTTGTCATTGTCAACAAATGAAAATCCACAAGCCCCTTTGTTTGCATGGGTTGTGGGTTATGCATCAGGTTGTGTTGCAACACTTCCTATTCTTTACTGGAGGTTCCGTAACCGCAACAGAGGTGCTGAGCAAGAATCCATTCAATCGCATCAAGGGTCTTCTGAAAGCAATCTTCCTGAACCAATGTCTTATACAGCTATTTCAATTTCTCAAGCGTCTGATGAAGAAAACAATCGCACCTCAGAAACAGTCACAAATAACCCTCAAATTGCAGGACCCTTAAGTGCAAGGTTTTCAATTTTGCCCTCATTTTTCCATATTATGTTTTAATTGATGGGTGATGTATTGCATTTTACTTGATATCTTCAGCTGTAAAGTTTCCTGGTGTGGTTGCTTTTAGGGGAATGGATTTGGTTTAATTCATTAATTTGTGTTTGTTCTGATAATTGCACACGCACACATACACCCTTTCATAACTACACTAAGATTTGTAGTCCTATTTGCTACAACAAACAATTTAAATGCTAT